AACTATGTTGAGAGACCAGTAGCTATTCTGGAGAGGAAAGTAAGGTGGCGTTTGGTTTGCAGAATGTTTTTGAAGGAATTAGAATATGTTAAGGAATTGGAATTTGCCAGGAATTGCCATCCAATTCCATATTTTGTTTGGTTGGAAGAATGAAATTTGAATCCAATTCCATATTATGTTTGGTTGGCAGAAAATAGAACTGAAATAATATGAAATGACAAAATTGCCCTTTTTTTTTGCTTATTTTTACTTTTTTTATAACTTATATGTAAAAGTATATTATATAAATTATAAAATTAGTAAATTATAGTGATGGTAGCAGTGATATTGACGGTGGCAATAGGATGCAAACCCTAAATTTTAGGGTTTCATCCAGACAGGTCTACTTGTCGAGTTGGGGCTTCCGACTCGGCGAGTAGACTCTTCCACCCGTGTCCAATCCTCCGCATCTACTCGACGAGTTAGGCCTCCAACTCGCCAAGTCCCTGTGTAATCATGCAAAAACTTATAATAAAATACGTACCGGGAACCGGACGTTACATGGTGGCTCGTCACCACCGTCACCTCCATGGCCCATCACATCAACCATGAGGTCGAGCAATGCAATCCAAAAAATGACATCCTGAAAAATTATAACACTATATATATATATATATATATATATATATATATATATATATATATATATATATATGATTATAACAACTCAAGAAGCTGATTGAATGAACTATCAGTCCATTTGTTGATCACCTTCATATGCATCACCTTTACTAAAAAGTCAAGGGACGAAAACGAACATCCAGGATATAATTTTAATTGGACTTCCTCTAACAGCTTTTGAAATCCATCATCGACACTGCTACCCTCTGTATACGGGTTCACTTCGTCGCAGTCAGTATCATTTTCAATCACATCCCCCATAATATCAGCAATAACATCGGTCATCTCGTTACTACGCGGTATGTCTTCGACAACCGGATGAACTGTACTTTCACCGTGATACTTCCATATAATATAATGTGGACTAAAATCATGTTGAAGTATATGGAATTTCATTATCGCTAGTAGTATAAATTTATTAACATTACATTTGTTACGCGGGCATCTGATTTGAGCTTTGTTATCGACGTGTGGTTTGGACCTCTCGAGAAAAGATTCCAGTCCTTGTTGGAACAAGGTAGAGTTACGATTTTCAATAGTAGTCCAGGTTTTATCAATAGACATGTTGCAACTGAAACATAAGTTAGGTTTTTGTGTTTACTCTACAAGAACTAAAATTAAGATTGAATATTTATAAGGATAGAGTAACCGCTCAATCAGATGGAATAGAAAACCGGACAAACGGAAGAGAATTCACAAGGGTTGGCTTCTAAACCCACTTTTTGAATACCTTACCTCATATGCAAATGTCTATTACATGATTGACCGTTTAAGAAAAATTTGGCAGCATTTCCCCTTAGCTCCTAAGTATATATGAAATTATATACCTGAGGAGCAAAGAGAAATTAACAACTGAATATTTCTTAAACAATCAATCATGTAAAACACATTCACATCCTAAATGAGGTAAGGTATTCAAAAAGCAGTCCCAAAACGGGGACAACCCGAAATTAATTTCTAAATAAATTTCGGGCGAGTATTTCTAGGCTTTTGATGATTTAAAACGATGAGACTTAAACTAAAAAAGCATATTTTCTTATTATAGCATTGTACTTTAAATAATTTAATTATTAAATTATAACTTAGTAGATTTAGCGTATTAATTTTTCATTTTTATTTTTTATTATAGCATTGTACTTTAAACGATAGTATATATTTGTTATTTATATCATCTTTTTTTTTTTTTTCATATTTTTATTTTTAATATCAACTTTTTTTTCTATTATGACTAAATTATAACTTAGTAGATTTAGCATATTAATTTTTCATTTTTATTTTTTATTGTGTACTTTAAACGAGAATATATATTTGTTATTTATATCACCTTTTTTTTTCTTCCATATTTTGATTTTTAAGATCAACTTATTTTTCTTTTTATTTTTCTATTATGACTAAATTATAATTTAGTAGATTTAGCGTATTAATTTTTCATTTTAATTTTTTATTATAGCATTGTACTTTAAACGATAGTATTTATTTGTTATTTATATCATATTTTTTCCATATTTTGATTTTTAATATCAAGTTATTTTTAATTTTATTTTTCTATTATGACTAACCTATAACTTAGTAGATTTAGCGTATTAATTTTTCATTTTTATTTTTTTATTATAGCATTGTACTTTAAACGATAATATATATTTGTTATTTATATCATCTTTTTTCTTATTTTGATTTTTAATATCAACTTATTTTTGTTTATATTTTTCTATTATGACTAAATTATAACTTAGTAAATTTAGCGTATTAATTTTTTATTTTTATTTTTTATTATAGCATTATACTTTAAACAATAGTATATATTTGTTATTTATACCATTTTTTTTTCTTCCATATTTTGATTTTTAGTATCCACTTATTTTTGTTTTTATTTTTCTATTATTACTAAATTATAACTTTGTAGATTTAGCGTCTTAATTTTTCATTTTTATTTTTTATTATAACATTGTACTTTAAACGATATTATATATTTGTTATTTATATCATCTTTTTTTTCCATATTTGGATTTTTAGTATCAACTTATTTTTATTTTTATTTTTCTATTATAACATTATACCTTTTCATTTTTATTTTTATTTATATTATCTTAGTTATTCTGTATTTTTATTATAGTATAATACTTTAAAAAGACATTGTAAATTATAACATGTTTTTTTTTTCAATTATAACATCCTATCATAACATACATTATACACACATATACATACAATATACACATATTCTATCATAAAATACAATATACACACATACAAATGCACTTATACACACATTTTCACATATATTTTTTCATACATACAAATACATTTCATATAGAAATACATATACATTTCACATAAAAATGCCTACATTTCATATACATACATTTTCACATACATATTTTCATATATATATATATATATATATATATATATATATATATATATATATATATATATATATACACATGCATTTCACATAGAAATACACTTATAAACATATTTTTACATACACTTTTACATACATATACATTTTTCCATACATATTCACACATACACATTTGCATATACATTTTTACATACATTTCATATACATTTAACATACCAACATATATACATTTCACATACCAACGCATTAAGAACAAAAAAAAGAAAAAAGAACCTGTTGTCGTTAGAAAATACGACCAGTCGCCGGAAATTGAAGCTGGTTGTTACAACGGTGGTGGCATTCATCGAAGATTACCTTAAAAGCACCAAAATAATATAATTAGGGTTAAATATTGGTAAGAAAACAAGAGAAAGAGAAAAAGGGAAGAGAAAACGCACGTTACTAGAGTATTATTGTCGCCAGAAAAAGTCAGAATTCACCGAGAAACGTTGGAAATCGCGGGAAAACGTCGGAAATCACCGGAAAATGAAGGCCTAGAAGCAATCTATGGTTAGTGGTGGTTTGTGCTGGTATACTACGCCGGAAAATCGCACCACAGAATGTTGGTCGTCAGAATTTTGCAAGAGGGAGGAAACAACGCAGGAAGTGGGTCGTCTGGGACGAGGGGGGGGGGGTCAAAAGGGCGTTACCTTTAGCGACGACCCGGGGCAATAGCGACGACACCGGGACAATAGCGACGACATGTTGGAGGGAAAAATACACGCTTTTCTGTCGTGATTATTAACCGTCCAATCCAAAAATAATCGAACAACCAAGATGACATTCACGCGGATCACCATCAATAGCGGCGACATGTCGTCGCAATTGTTTTCGCCTCTATTACCTCCCATGAGATTAAACCCTAACCGGTGGATCAGTATAACAACATACGGTCACGATCAAATGTCGTGTGGCACGAGAGGATCGTCGGTGGAAGCCCTTTAGCGACGACCTGTATAGCGATGACAGTAACCTTTAGCGGCGACATTATCTGATTTCGCCGCTAAAGGTTGTCGTCGTCGCTAAAGGGCTTATTTCTTGTTGTGAGAGGGGGTGAGAGAGAGAGAGAGAGAAAAAAAGGGTGTGGGTGGGTGAATCATTTTTTATTTTTAATTAATTAAAAATATTAAGATGAATATATAAAAAAACAAATCTAAGGGGTATAATAGTCTTTTTAAGTTGATAGGGACCAAAATCAATAAAAAGATCTAACTTTGGACCATTATTGTACCACCAAAAAATTTTGTACCAAAACTACAAAATTTTGACGACCATGGACGATTTTTGCAACTTTATCTATATAATTTTTTGGATATTTATTGATACAAAGTGGAACCATCATCCCATTACAAATGAATCTCAAAAACACCCTACTTTTATTTATTTATTTATTTATTTTTTAAAGTTTGACGAACTGACCTAATTTTGCAAAAATCTGAACAATTCGAACACATAAAAATCCAACTAGATTTGATTTGATGAATAAATCTAACAAAGTAACAAGTGTAGGGTGCAATCACTCAAATATATTTGTTTAAATGAACAGTCCCTATACAAATTGCAAGTGTTCAAGCTTTAGTAACTATTTTATCAACATTAAAACTAGCAGGACGAAAACATAAGTTTTGATAAGCTTAGAAAACTTTACATATGCACCCACAAGTTAACAACGTGCTCTGGAAGAAAATTTCAGGGGCACATAAATACTTAATTTTAAGATTTTTTTTGGGAATTCTGTGAGAATTCTTATGATATGGGGCACAAGATAATTTGTTCTAAACTCCAAGGTCCATCATGAAATTTACTCAAGAAGATAATGCCACGTCATCAAAAGACAAGGTCCAGGTTGGATTAACGAGCAGCAACATGTACCTGCCCGTAATTCACTCATCATCATGCAGTACCAAGAGTTTTCATCGCACCATATCCTAAAACCATGAACACCATTACAAACCCCACAACCCTCTTCCACCCCCAAATCACCACCTCCCACCGCCACCTCCGCCACCCACTCCCACCTATAAAAGCCACATTCTCTGGTGAAGAAACCCAAACCCACCACCGGAGATTCATCATAACCACCTCCATTTCACTACTTGCATTAAACAACCTTAATGTCCAGGTAGCATCAGCCGAGAGCTGGGGCACAAGATCGTTCATAAAGGAACGGTTTTTTGAGCCGGGGTTGTCGCCGGAGGATGCAGTGGCTCGAATCCGGCAGACGAGGGAGGGACTGCACAGCATTAGGAACATGTTGGAGACTATGTCGTGGAGGTATGTGCTGTTTTATATAAGATTAAAAGCGGCTTATTTAAATCAGGACTTGAAGAATGCGATGTCAATAGTACCAGAACCCAGAAAAAGTTCCTACGTTAAAGCTGCTAATGAGCTGGTCAATAACATGTCTGAGGTATCTTTACTTGCTCCATTACTTGTCTAATTTAACTTTTCTCTCAAAAAATATAACATTTTATTTATCTGTAATCTATATTGCAGTTTGATACTTATATTCGGTCACCAAAGGTGTACGAATCTTACTTATACTACGAGAAGACATTGAAGTCGATTGACAATCTTGTTGCTATTCTCGCATAGTGAATTGCACGCGTTTGGTTTTGTTTATATGATGTAAAAGGGAACATATAAGTAATAGAAAGTTCAAACTTTGTTATATTTCATTCAAATATTTCACACAAACAAACACAAGGTGAAAACACACATAGTAACTGTAGCCCAAAAGGAACAATTTGGTTTCAAATGTCAAATCAAATTAACATTAGAGCACCACGCGTTTTGCTTGTCGAGATAGCGCGATAGCACCGAGCAAGATTACCAGGATAAACACAACCACTGCTCCAAATGATCCGATGAGCGAACCAGATGCACCTTGACAAAAGTCCCCATATTGTTGACACACCGGCAACCAATTTGTGGAAGTGTTTCCATTGTGAGCCAAATACACTATTGAAGCCGCAGCCGATGCGCCCGCAGTGAGAAGAGCTAGCATGACCTTCAAAATCAAATTTACAGTATTAACAATCAATCACTATGACATGTCTTTGCTCCTCGATTAAGAAACATAAAGTTATAGGATTAATATTATAGTTTAAATTATGTGTCATTCTACCATTACATAGGTCTAGCAAGTACTTAGACATGTAAGGGTAGGATGAAACATAAATGATGCCTAATATCATTATAATGATACAATATTGAAAAATTATTGTATCTTTATTATGTCTAGGTTCTGATCATTACTGGTTAGAACCTAAACACTTATGCACTATATTAGTGTCTTGTTACCGTATCCATGATGATCAAGAGAATCCTGCTTCCTCTTGCCGCACTCCTCATGATGTGGACGATGGATAACGGGATGGTGAGAACGAAATATGCACATACTATCGCGTTGACAATCACAAACAATCTAAATGACCGAAAATCATCGTATTCTGCATTGAAAACCACAAACCGAGTGAAGAAAGGTAGGGTTTGTTCATTGGTTCCCATGGCAATTGCAGCACCTAAAGTACCCGCAATGCCAACCAAGCGCAAAACAAGATCCATCACCGAAACCCCTTTGTTTGATCCAACGGGCACCAAGACCTTAGAGGCATCGCCTTCTTCCAATCGTACGGTTTTTGTCATTTTTTGGTTTTTGGGACTTTTTAACAATTGGAAAGGCTAAAGAGTTGGCAGGGAAGAAGTTGTGTAAGGTGGTGTTGAAATAGTTTGAGATAAAATGAAAGAGAAATGTGTGTATTTATATAACAGAAACATAGTTGAGTTGGTATAGAAATGGATGTGTTAGTTGTCAATGAGGGTTTCTTTTTGGCTTGGTCACTGCCCTTTAACCTGCTCAACTTTGAGTACCAACTTCCTACTCCATCAATCATCAATTCTTGAACTTTTTGCTGGATTTTCAAGAATTCCATTATAAACTTTCAGATTATCGAATTTTTTATCCATAGATCTGATTTTCGATTAGAAATGATTTTATTGATCTTATTTATATAAAGTTATATAATGTTAGTGGGCATTAAGTACAAATTCATTGGCACACAATACTATATATTTTACTGGAAAAAACGATGAATAGAAGAGAACTTAATCAAATAGATAAATTTAAATGGAAGAAATTATGAAAACATTTATGCTCGACTGTTTCACTTTATGGGTTCATTATATATTCATAATTTCTTGCGCATTTTTTTTCTAAAACTATATTTAATTTAAGGCAAATAATAGAAAACCAGTATATTAATTTTATCATGTTTTTCAATTTCGCCAACCAATTTTTTTTTTTTTGGCATAAGAGGTCAACATTTTTTTTCATCTAATCTTCTTAGAATTTCGCAATTTAGCAGGTTATGAGGTCACTTCCTCGTTGCCATTTATGAGTTGGTGTTATCAGGTAACATGGTCCTTACATGACATGAAGAGTTAGAGCATTTTGAATTAGGATTTTATAAACTAATTACTATTTTGATCGTTCACCGCCAATAAAATATATGTTTTTTTTCATTGATCATACTTAATATACTAAGTATAGTATACATTAAGTGTTTATTTTATCTTTAGGTTCATCAGATTAAGGGAAATTGAAATAACTAACCAATATTCATGAGTGTTTTCATAAAAATGACCAATTTTTTTTTTTTCAAAATTTGCAAAATTAACACCACCTCTGAAATACCATATTCGAGAGTAGTAAAGGTCGTTCTAGAGTAGGTGGTGGTTGGCGAGATATGATGTCAGGAAAATCTAACAATCGTACATTCTAGACTGACGTAGTCAATTTCGGACGACTGTACATTTTGAACATACATTTCAGACAGTGTTCCGGACTGCCTTTATTCAATTCTAGATTGTCCATTTTACATTCAAGACACCGAATATGGATATTTTTATACTGCATATCATCAGGGGCGGTCCTAGCTAGGTGCCCGGTGTGGCACCGACAACACCTAGCTTTCGCGCACATAGTAGAAAATTTTTCGTTTTTTTTAATTTTTACCTATTGTGCCACTACGCAAAAAAATCGTGCAACTACTAAAAAAATTTGGTGCAACTACGTAAAAAAAATTTGTCACTCTATCGGGAATTACCAAACAAAAAATAATAATAATAATGAGCCAAATGTTTTAATCAATTATTGTCTAATAGCCCAATTGCCCAAAGCCCCAAATAAAACATTAATTGGATAAATTAGCAATTGGGCTAATTGCTTGTAAAAAAATAGCCCAATCCTAATTAATTGACTAAATGTATTATCAATACAAAAAAAGAAAAAAAAAAAATAGCGACTACAGAATCGATTAGTCGACTTCGTCCTTGGCTGGCTCGTGACCTTCTGTTCGGCTGTTCGCACTTCGCACAATCCTTCATCGGTTCCTGACTTCCAATCCTTCCATTGTTCGATCAATCAACAATCGGGTGAAGCAAGTAACAAAATTGACTTCCTTCGATTTCTACTTTCTTGGTTAACAAAATCGACTTCAAAGCCCTAGAATGAAGCAAAGTAAGTTTTACCAATTCATTTAGGTATATGAAATTGATATGTTTTTTTTTTGAAGTTATTGATTGGCTTGGGTGAAATTGATTTGTTTTATTGCTATGTTTTATTGAATTTATTGTTTGATTAGGGGAAATTGCTATGTTTTATTGAATTTATTGTTTGATTAGGTGAAATCAACTTGTTTTATTGAAGTCATAGTTTGATTAGGTGTAACTGTTATGTTTTTATAGGTTAAACTAAGTGGTTTTTTTTACCAAAAGACAAAGACCTAATCCTAATGAAAGTGGTGAAGAATGTTCCCAAAGACCTAATCCTAATGCAACTCCACAAACACCAATCACCAATCAATCAATCTCTTCGGTTTCTAATGCAACTCCACAAACACCATGCTCTAACCAACCTAATGATAATGTTGAGTTGAAAGATCTTCCAAAGGACCCGACGGATAGGCCAAAGAGTACAAGTTACAAATCAAATATAAGAGATGAAATAAGAAGAGCGTATTTGCTTAAAGGACCTTGTCAAATAAGGGCACATAAGTTTTCCAAAAAAAAATAGGTGATAAATTTAGAAGATTCGTTCCTTCATGGTTTGATGAATTTGATTGGTTGGAATATAGTGTGAAAAAGAATAGTGCATATTGTTTATATTGTTATGTGTGTGGAGACCTCATGAGACAAAAAGGAGGGAGAGATGCATTTGTTTCCCAAGGTTTTGATACTTGGAATAAAAAAGATGCATTTCGGACTTATGTGGGCGGCGTTGATAATTTTCACAACAAAGAAAAATAAAAGTGTGAGTTTTTAATGAGGGAAAAACAAGCTATTAATGTAGTATTGAGGAGGCAAACCGAAGCGGGGGACCATAAATATAAAGCTCGATTACGTGTTTCTATTATTGTTGTTAGACTTTTATTGAAAACCGGTTTACCGTTTCGTGGTCATGACGAGTCGGTTAACTCGGAAAATAGAGGGCTTTACATTGAAGTGTTAAAAGCCATTCGAGAGACTAGTGAAGATATTTTCAACAATACTTTAGAAAATGCTCCTAAAAACAATCAACTAATTTCCGCTAAAATTCAAAAAGAACTTGTGCAATGTTTTGCACAAGATGTACTTTTGAGTATTCGTGAAGAGATTGGTCAAGATGTTTTTGCTTTACTAGTTGATGAATCTAGTGATGTTTCAAAAAAGGAACAAATCGCTATTGTTTTGCGTTATGTTGATAGTCTTGACTTTGTGAAAGAAAGATTCATATGACTAGTGCACGTGAAGGATACATCCTCTTTGACACTCAGAAACGCCATAAATGAAGTACTTACAAGTAATAAGTTGAGTTTTAGTCAGGTAATTTATTCTTTACTTTTTTGTTATTTCAATTTAATTTAATTCGGTTTATGTTTTATATATATATATATATATATATATATATATATATATATATATATATATATATTGTTTTAAATTTTAATAGATAAGAGGACAAGGTTATGATGGGGCAAGCAATATGCGAGGGGAATTTAATGGTTTGAAAGCTTTGATATTACAAGAGAATGACACAACTTTTTATATACATTGCTTTGCACACCAACTTCAATTAGTAGTTGTGGCTGTAGCAAAGAAGCATGATGGTGTTAGTGACTTTTTTGAGCAAATTTCGTTGGTGGTTAATGTTGTTTGTGCCTCGTGTAAAAGAAAAGACTTACTACGAGAACAAGCAAGAGAAAGGGTGCAAAAAGGATTGTGTAGTGGTGAACTTGAAACCGAAAGAGGGTTAAATCAAGTGACTACACTTGTTCGAGCGGGAGAAACAATATGGGGTTCACATTTCAACACACTCACAATTTTGATGAAGTTGTTTGTGGATGTACTTGTAGTTTTAGATTTTGTGAAAGAGGAGGGAGTGTCATTGGCAAACCGTCAACAAGCGTCCGAAATCTTAGCATATTTAAATCATATGAGTTCGTGTTTTACTTACATATGATGTATGACATTTTACGCCTCACGGGTACATTGTCAAAGCAACTTCAAAGAAAAGATCTAGACATTTTAGAAGCGGCTTCGATGGTTAGAGGGACAATGGATGAATTGCAATCTTTGAGAAACACAGGGTTTGATAGCATTTTGCCAAAAGTATCCTCTTTTTGTCAAACACACAAAATTGATACTTTAGATATGGAAGAGTTGTATATTGGTGCGAGAAACCGTAAGACTACAAAGACTAATAGGTTTCATTTTGAGGTTGAAATCTTCAACACGGTGGTAGATATGCAACTTACAGAATATCGGGATCAATTTGGTGAAACAAGCACCCAATTACTAGAATGCATTGGTGCTTTGAGCCCTTGTGATTCATTTGCACAATTTGACAAATCAAAGTTGTTGAAGTTGGGTAAGTTATACAAGTATGACTTTGATGATTCGGATATGATAGACCTTGAAGGACAACTTGAGATATCTTATCACTCTTGCATCAAAGATGAGCGCTTCACTAGTTTGAAAGGAATTTCTGACCTTTCTCATTTGATGGTTAGTACGGGGAAGCATCGGTCTTATCCTTTGGTTTATAAGCTTTAAAGTTGGCTTTGATATTACCCGTAGCGACCGCAAGTGTAGAAAGATGTTTTTCAAAGATGAAGCTCTTGAAGACCGACTTGCGTAACAAAATTGGCGATGACTTTTTGAATGACGCATTACTTTGTAATGTCGAGACCGAAGCACTTACAAATGTTGAGAATGAAAAAGTAATGGAGCGGTTTCAAAAGATGTCTGCACGAAGAGGACAAATTTAAATTGTAATAGATCGTTGTTATATTATGTTTAACCAAAAAAAAAATTTGTATTAGACGTTTTATATTATGTTTGACCAGAAATTTGTTTTTATGTTTTATATTATGTTTGACCAGAAAAAAAAATTGTGCAACCCTACTACTAATTCCTGCGTCCGCCCCTGTATCATGTGTTTTCCATCTTTTGTTTCAGTTGCAACCAACTATATACTCATAATTGTGTTTTAGAATTGTTTCAAAATGAATTTCTCAAGATTGTGATCATGAAAAAAAATTGACAGCCCTGTCTGTTTTTACTTGCATAACCTTGGAAAAATGAACATCTATAGTTACATCAACAACATAACAGATGTTATGGGTTGTTTCAATTATGTTTTGTGGCTCTTGGACACGTAGTAAGATAAAATTTTCCATTTTCTTCTTTTAATAAATT